CACACTTAGAGAATTCTGCCGTCACCGCATCATAGTGAGGATGAAATTTTACTAACTCCATAAACTTAGCCGTGTAATCCACCACAGACATATTGCCTTGTTTCAACTCAAGAAATTCCATTTCCTTCCTTCCTTTCACACTCTCAGGATAATACTTCCTCAAGAATTCAGCACGAAATAAATCCCAAGTTATTTCCTCGTCATCTACTTCAAGCACTTGCCTCATGCCAATCCACCAGTCATCGGCTTCTTCCCGCAACATGTGAGATCCAAGCCTCACCTTATTGCCCTCAGCACAGTTCATTACTCTGAAGATCCTCTCGATCTCTTTCAACCAATTCTGGGCACCGTCCGGATTAAACCTTCCTTTGAACACCGGTGGCTTATTCTTTCTAAACTCATCATTTGCGTTCACATTCGGCGCACCCTGCACCGCTCTAGCCATCGCCTCCAATGCCGCAGCCATAGCACTGTCATTACGACCTGCCATAATCTTCTTAATCACAAAAACAGCAACAAGGTTAAACAACCGCTCAACCAACAAAACAATAAGACAAACACAACTGACTCAACACTGGCTCTGATACCACTTGTAACACCCCCCCTTATTCCTACCCCAAAATAATTCAATTAATCATTTAGGCATAAGTCAAAATTTTATCAGAGTACATGTAAGTCATAGCACAAAAGGGGTATGTCACATTATATAAAAATTCCAATGCAATACAACACCTGCTCTACAGATATGCAACAACGGGTCAGCGCCCACGAGAAAATATTTAGAACAAGGCGGAAACATCTAAATATTTCATATCTCCAATACATGTATTCACATATACAATTATCATCCCACATGTCAACAAAACATAACATCGGCAGATACATGCACAGATGTATCGCAAAAGAATCGAAATAACTCCTATCTACCCGGTGCTACATATCAGAGCCGACCGACCAAAAGGGAAATGAAGTCATGCTTCACAAAATATCTCCAGCCATCTAATTTGCAATGCCTCATAGAGCATTATAAAACAGCAGAAGGGTGAGAAACAATATCATAATAAATAATGCATAAAGACATATATAAATATCTCATATCAACAATTATGCATTCTACGCATTCTCACCATAACTCACCTTGTACAATATAATATATCTATATACAACTATAACACCAAGCATACTCAATATGCATCATCAATGTTTATATCTTTTCATAAACATGCAACCACATATATATATATATATATATATATATATATATATATCTATATATATATATATATATCCTCCAGTATCTACATTATGCCAAAACATACATTTCATGTTAATTCAATAAACATACACAACATGTTTATTTCACTATACATCATATACAGATGACAAATGCAAATCATAGAGGACAACTCGCTACTCTATGTAAATGCAACACAACATCGATCTAGTCGATCGTCAGATCCTCCTAAGGATCAATCTACTCTCACCCCTCATGGGTATTCTATCACTTGTCAGATTCTCCTAGGAATCACAACACTCATCAGACTCTCCTAGGAATCACACCATTCATCAGATTCTCCAAGGAATCACGCCACTCGTCAGATTCTCCGAGGAATCACACTGTTCATCAGATTCTCCAAGGAATCAGGTTAATCAGCAGACTCTCCAAGGAATCACATATCTCGTCAGATTCTCCGAGGAATCAATTCATTCAGCAGATTCTCCGAGGAATCACACCATCCATCAGATTCTCCGAGGAATCAGGTCATACAGCAGACTCTCCAAGGAATCACACCTCTCATCAGACTCTCCTAAGAGTCATGTCTCTCCTCAGGCTCTCCTAAGAGTCCTATCACTCATCAGATTCTCCTAGGAATCAACAACACAAGAATGTATTCTATACAATTCTTGAAATGCACACACATACACATAATATGTTCATGCATCTTCACCTCATTCAATTTCATACAATCATCATACATCGCAATGTATATTACACGACACATTAGTCATTCACCTCATTATCATGCATTTTAAATCAATTTAAACAATGCACATATTTGCCCAAACGACCACAATTCACAATCGAGGATTTACGCACGAAGGCTACCCACAACACATGTTATCACAATAGATCACATACTTATTCATATCATAGAGGTATTAACCTATGTGAATCAACCAAACAATCACCACATGAGCAACACAGCACAAGAAAAATGCTGCCACGTTCGCCTTTATTCGCCTGGCGAACCCCCGCAGCGAACCTTCGCTAGGCTTCGCCTGGCGAACTCGCCAGCGAGCCCAAGTCAGTAGCTACTGACTTCATTCGCCACCATTCGCCAGCACCTTCGCTGGGCGAACCTTCGCTATCCACCTTCGCCTGGCGAACTCACCAGCGAAGTCCACTGGGACTTAAACATAATTACTCGCCAGCATTCGCCGGGCTTCGCCTGGCGAAGCTTCGCCTTCGCTCGCCTGGCGAGAGCCAGCGAACCTGCGCAGAACAGCATTCTGTTCTGTCTCTCCTTCACCAATCCATCATCAACCATCTCTTAAACATCTAAATCAGTACAAATAGCATCAATACATGTTACCCGACTATTCTACGGCGTTATTACTCAGTTTCAACCGATTAAATCTTCAATCTACCGATTATTCCAACTTTTGCCCTAGAAATGGATAGTGTAGAAAAACTACCAACAAGCCCAAACTAATACATATATGATGCTATACATTATTAAGATGATAAAACTTCTCACCCTTACCTGATTAATCGCAAGCTTTGATCGATTCTTGATGATTCTAGGTTTTCCTCTTTCTCTTCTCTTTCTCCTCCTCTTCTTTCTTTCTCCTTTCTTTCTCTTCTTCTTACTATCCTTTCTTTCCCTTCTATTTCCTCTTTAATATCTTTTCCATTATTTTTCCAAAACATCTATTAATTCAATATCTCACAAATATCTCACTTAATATTAAATAGGAAATGTCCAAAATACCCTTCCAAACTATTTCCTCCGAAACCTTCCAATACCGGTTAAAAATATGATAATATGTAAATATAACATATTTCCACACAAATTCTACATCCAAATATTATTCACCCAATTTAATTAAATTGGGGCCCAATAAAAGTGAAAATCGAAATCGGGGCGTTACAACTTAGGGGGCTACTGTTCTGGACTGGGCCGACGTCTGGCCCATAGTCGAGCAGGCCCAAATCCACCGAGTTGGAAGGTCCGATAAGGCCTCATCGTCTTGCAGAAGATCCGTCGGGCAAAACGTCTTCTCCCGTCGGGCAGGACCTTCAGAGATGTCCGACTAGCCCTTCTTTTGCCCCACGGTCGGGCAGAGACCATCCAACTCGGGAAGCTCCTCAGGCCTCCCCCACGTTCTCAACGTGTCCCCTACGCGGTGACACGTCATCAGGTAACTATCTGTGTCCTGATTATTCGGTCTTCCACCTCCCGGATAGCACGAAATAGTTACACTAGGGCGAAGACCACGTGCTGGTCTTCACGACGCCACGTCAGCCCTAGCAGTTACCAACGTTGGGCCTGGCAGCCCAGCCCAACGCATAGTAATTGTTGGCCATGCGCTAGGGGCTCATTATAAATACCCTCTTCCACTAAAGGGTCAGGTAATCTAATTTCACTCCTTTTCTCTGTACTTGTTATCACTCTGCTCGTCGCTTACTTTGACATCGAAGTGTGTTTCAGGTACACCTCCCCTCTATCCGTCAAGTCAACTGTTCGACAGCTCAGATACGTGACAGCCCAACGATCTCTTTATTCAAGTACGATCAAATTGTATAAAACTTTTTCTATTATCAATACATAACAATTAAATTCAATTTAAATACTACTAATAAACAAAATCTAAAACTTGTATAAATCTTTAAAAAAATACTTTTGTAAATTTATATAATATATATAAGATTATGTAAATTAAAATCAAAATTAAATAAAAAATATTCATTTATATTTTTGACGTCTATTGTTAAAAAAACGGAACAAGCATTATAAAAAATATTCATTTATATGTTGACAATTGTGTCCATAAGAAAAAAACAATGTAGTTAGTAGCTCTAAAAAAAAAGGATACTTCTGTAATTTCCTTTATATAATATAAAAAATTACAAAAATATTAAAATAAATTATATTATCAAAATTTTAAAACTATGAATATTTTATTTATTTAATCAAAACCCTACTCAACGAAGCTCAACAGCTCCAACAAAACGACATCGTATTCCGTACTGAACTCAATTCGCCGGAAAACGCAACCGGAGTTCGTCGTCGGCCGCCTCAAACACTAAGAAGGTTCGTCCAGGTTTTCCTTTTCTCCCTTTCCGTTCTCCTCTATTGTTACATGCGCGAGAATGCGATTGCATGATTTCGCACTAAATCTTAGGGTTTGACAATATAGAAAATTTTACAACAATTTTGTGATAAACTGATAAATTGAACAATTTTGATAATATCTTGCTAGTGTTGATTTTAATTTGAAGATTGCTTCCTTCACAGGCGCTGATAATCACTATGCTAGATTTTGAAAATTTTACCTCAAGAATTAAAAAAGTGAATCATTTAGGGTCTGTATGGATAAACAGCTTATATTTATAAGCTATTTTTATAACAAAAGATAAAATAAGTTTAAGTTGTTTTTTCCTATGCCATAAGCTGTTCTTATAAACTATATTGGAGAACTTATAAAAATAAGCTAAAAAATATGTATGAAAAATATCATAAGTTGTTTTGATAATATATCTCCTAAACAATGTCACAAACTTATGTCAATAGATATGCCCAAATAAGCCAATCCAAACAGGCCGTTAATGTATTTTGGTCCTTGTATGAATTTTACATATGTAGATTTATTGCTAAAAGTTTACTTTGTTAATTCAATCATTTCTAAACAGTGCTTCACATAAGTTTACACTTATTTCCTTTATTGCAGATAGTCCTGAATGTCCTGTTATTGTAGGATAATCAGTGTTGTTAATCATGGTATGGTCTAGTATAAGTAGGAGAACCCGTCTCTTGCCGTACTTAAGGGCTTTCCGAAATTCCCCAGAATTCAGGTAATTTGATGTTTGCATTCTTTCTGAAGTTTGTGTTACTCTTTTTCTGAAGTAGGTTATTGATCAATGCTGTTCTAAGGAATGATCGAAAGCATTTTTTAAATTTGTATTGGTGAAATAAGAGCTTTTATTTTACCAGTTGAGGAGATTTCTTTGACAAGTTTACTCTCATGTTGTGTTTTTATTTGAATATAATGTTTTTTTTTTGTTGATTCAGGGGCCAATCTATTATTCCTGAAGGATCATGTTATAACATAGCTAATCCTTGTTCTGGATTCCAGCGTGATTTCTCTTGTAAAATACGTCTGTCAAGGTTTAAGCAGGAATTGAGTACATTGTCATACCATCATTGTTACAGCTCTTCAGCTTTTGCTTCACACAATGTTGGAAGGTTGTGTTCCATGCCTGGTTTTCGAAACTTCTCATCTCATGCATCCACAGAGCAAAAATCACGAAAGATGCTCATTTACTTGACAGGCTTGGTCTTTGGAATGGTTGGAATGTCATATGCTGCAGTTCCCCTTTACCGGAGATTTTGCCAAGCAACTGGCTATGGGGGAACTATTACCCGCCGTGAGGTATGGGTTACTTTGTTTTCAATGAATTTTCATGTTCTTTTAAAATTCTTTGGCAATCTTCTTACATTCGTTGATTGCAATTTCCGAATTTCACATTTTTACAGAGTGTTGAAGAAAAGATTGAAAGGCATGATAGAAATCAAACAGCCACATCAAGGTGTTGTTTTTACTCCTTAAGGTGACCAGCTAGCTTTTTTCTAGTTGTAATGGGTTGATGAGCTACCATTTTATATTTTTTCAGGGAAATTGTGGTACAGTTCAATGCTGATATTGCTGATGGGATGCCATGGAAGTTTGTTCCTACACAGAGAGAGGTTTGTCTTTATTTAATATATCCTTAACCTTACTGCAGTCCGCAAATATGCTCGAAATGGAAAATGCTTGGTTATAAATTAATCTAATCTTTTGGTGGACAATGATATTTTTTGAATCTAATTCTTACATGCAAATATTTCATATGTTATTACTTGAAAAGTTGGATGTTGTAGACACCCCCTGATATCCAATAGGAAAAGTGAAAAAGAATTGAAGATTATTCATTTGCTCTACCAGGTTAGGGTGAAGCCCGGAGAAAGTGCCCTCGCATTTTATACCGCGGAAAACAAAAGTTCTACTCCAATAACCGGTGTTTCTACATATAATGTAACTCCCATGAAGGTACTGGCTACTGAACTCTTCACTTCACATATCTATCTACCATTACAATCTGAGATTTTGACAAGTTCATATTACAAAGTTCAACTTTATTAAAATCATCTTGTCTGAGTTAAGAACATAACATCAAATCTATTCGTGTTGGAAGGGAAGTCCTTTGAGATCCCTTTTATGCTCAAATAATAGAGGAGCTTAACTTTGAAGAATTATTTTCATTTTGTTTCCATATTCTCCACTTCTAGAACTATCCTTAAGTAGCAATTTTACGAAATGTTAAAATCATTAAAATCATAAATTTTCTTGTACAGGCTGGAGTTTACTTTAATAAAATACAATGCTTCTGTTTTGAGGAGCAGCGGCTGCTTCCTGGAGAGCAGATTGACATGCCTGTAAGTAGTTTTTTCAATCTGAACTCAAGCATGCAATAATATACTCATGCATCTTGATTGTGTATTTCTTTTATTGCAGGTATTCTTTTATATCGACCCGGAAATTGAGGACGATCCTAAAATGGATGGTATCAATAACATAATATTATCATATACTTTCTTCAAGGTTTCTGAAGAATAATATACCCACTTGAACATTTAAAACTAAAATAACGGCGCTACCTTTCAAAGGACATAAGAATCCCGGAAGCTCAAGTGTAATTTGTTTTACGATTAAACTGCCGATGTAATTTTTCAGACATCACTTTCTCTCCAATTTAGGCCCTAAAGTATATAAATAATGAGTAGCTCCTAAAATTAGTGAAATTCATCACTTAGTTAGAGACTAAAATGATGAATTTAAATATTTTTATTTATTTTCTTCAATTTTGTATATTACTTTAGGGACTGAATTGGAGAGAATGTGATATTTTACCGACTAAATGATGGTAATACTCTTTGTTTTACACTATGTTTCTACCTTTATTACCTTCCTAAATCAGTGTTGTTTAGTGTTACTTTACTGTGTCATGTGGAATGCAACAGAGACCAGGTGAAGAATGTATTAGCCATTTACACACATTACTGTGTTTTTAATGTTAATCGAAAGCCATGATCGTTGAAATGTTTGGCTATGGATGATAGAAACCAGATAGGTATGAATCTGGACTTTAGTTAGTTGGACTCATGTATCATTATGTATTTTATAAAATCCTATTGTTTTCGATAATTTAAATTTGAAAGTTTATTGAGATTATATATTTGATTTTTTTATTTTTAAGTTACTGCCTTACAACCATTTCTCTTATCACATCATCTTAAAAAGATATCATCATCCTCATAACTTTTATTTTTCACTTAAAGCACACTTATTCAATTATATCTTATCTCAATCTTTTTTCTTCTAAATTAACTAAAATTATTGTATAAATTTATTTTTAATAGGCCAACTGGCAAGCAGTCTGACCCACATGGGTCTGAAGAATTGGGCCAAAAAGATAGTGTTGTGTTTTTTAAGAGAATTTCTTATCCCACCTCTTTGAATTCTTATGCACCATGTGCGTTTTCAAAAATGCTCTCTACTTCTGAAGATGTGTCTTCGGATGTTTTTTATTTTTTTTTATTTTTTTTTATATATTTTATTTCGTAGATGCATCTACGGGAAGACTTCCTTATTCATATTTACAGAAAAAATTAACATTACAACAATAAAATCAATATTCATAAAATAAAATCGACGTTACATTGATGATTTTGACAAAAATTTAAATATTATATTTCAATACTCCGGTGGATGTCTGCACATCTCTAAGATGTCATCGACTGTTCTTCGGACCATTGCCTCTAACTCGAGCGGAACCTTTTCTTCGAAACCGAAACACTTTCGTCACATCGCTCTAACGTCATCTTGATTCTTGAGCTCAAACTTGTTGTAAAAAACGTTCCTTTTGTTGCCAACTGATGGTGAACGATATTCAAGCTTCACAACCTTTCGTTTGTCATTGTAAGGTAGGCGGTATTGGACCTCGTCTATGATATCGGCGAGAGAGGTGAGATCCAAGAGCTTGAACGTCCTCCCGGGTGTTTTGTCGTCGGAAAAGGACACTCGCGACATACCAACGGAGCTTGATTTCAAACAATTGAGACATTTTTGTATTTGTGTGAAAGATAACAAATGAAACCCCAAATTTATAGAAAATCTAGGTGAATATGGACCAACCATTTTCTGTCAAACTTGTTTCCAGAGCTATATCCACAAAACGACCATATAATTATTGGTTCCAGATATGTATCTCCGAAACTTTCACTAAAATTGCATAATTAAGAATCTTCCATAGATACATATCCGGAAGTTTCCCTGCTACATTTTTAAAGCAGAACTCAATATAGAAGGACATCATAATAGACAAATAAAAGACATATGTGCAAAAATAAGACATGAGAATAAAATGTGACTATTTTGCATTTCAAAAATTTATAATTAGTCGTCCGATTATACAAGAATTCAAAACGAATCAAAACAAGTGTCGCCGGCTAAATCTATTGGTGGCACCCCTTTGGACTTTTTCACATTCGATTCCTTTTCAATGTTGTTCAATCTTTCGTATTTTTGCATCCTTTCAACAAAACGATTCGGCCACGTCTCGGCATTTAGGGTTGAATGAGTCGCCCATTCTGGTGATGTAGGTGGTATGGGGCATTCCGATTTCAAGTAAACTTGTACCAAATGTCTTGATTTTGCAAGTCATCCAATACACATCATGCGACCATTTGAATTTTGAGGTGGTGCGACGTGGAGTGGAAAAAAGGTTTCTGAAAATCTGTATCGCGTCAAGTCAATGCACACCCATATCAAGGAAGGTCGTCCATTTCGACACTGGTGTCAGACCACTCAAGCAAGGAATAAGAGATTCATAAACCACGTTGAATTTTTCTTTCTTTCCATACAACCGCATATACGATTCTTTATGCGTCTTCAACTCTTGGATTAGTTGATGACAGACAAATGCATGACTATCCTCTCCTTTACCAAGCAAAGCCGAAACGACTCAGTAATCGCAATTACCATCCCCTTCAACATTGACGATACGATCGATGTATTTGAGCATAAAAACCGGCATCTTGTCGATGAATGGAATTTTCAGTAGAATTGGGGTCGGAGGTGGTTTGCTTATGCGGGCTTCTTTCATGAGACTTTATTTGAGATTTAGGAGTCGGTGAGTCGGGATAAAGTTTGTCAACGTGCTCATAATAAGAAGGAGGCCGTGTAGTCGAGTTATCATTCAGTGTAGGCTTCATTTTCTTCGGAGCACCTTTTGTCTTTATCGAATGAGAAGAAGGTTTCATGTCGGTTGTCTCGGGATATGAAATCTTTCTCAATTGTTCTTTGATGTGGAGTTTCATGTTGTCATCAGCCTTTGAGAATCTCTCTTGTATCGCTTCCCATTAGGTCAAAATAGAGATATTCGGTTTACTTCCTTCCATGCAACCATCATCATCAAAACTAAGTCTTTTTCAATGAGGGCAAACTTTGTCCATTCTTAGGCTCACCTAGTTTCAACTTTTTAGCAATAACACAAGCACACGAAAGACCATAGGTTTTCACAATAGTGCAACCATACTTTGCATTATCGGAACCTACAGTTTCAACTCGTTTGACCTCGTGAATAAGATATTTCAACCCCGACCGAGACATATTACCGATCAATTGAGAATAAAGAATTTTATCTTTAAATCGATGTTCCAATACCATTATACTCCGACCGAATGTTGTTTGTATCTATTATGTTTGTTTTTAATCATGAGATTTACGGAGTCCCAATCTCGACATAAATCCCCCTTGCTATTTCCCAACCAAATTTTCAAACTAGCAGGGCCAACTCAACTCTATTGGTGGTTGTATTTCCAAGGTGTCAGATATTATCAGTCCATGCACAAACTATCTTCTCCTTCACCTGATCAAGAATTGTGCTTTCAAATATTTCAACAAAGTAGGATACTTTTCACACACTTTTCATAATTGAATGATGGAATCGGCATATAATTCTTTTATGGAAGAATTTAGTATACGATTCCATGCATCCATTATTTTTTCAACAAATCACACCGGCCTTCACCAATTTTTCACCTTCGGACTCTACTTGTTTCGCCTCCACCACGGGTTTAACTCGACTTCTCACATTCTTTATTATGTGAAATCGACAAAGTAATGCATTAGAAGAAGGAAATACCTTTGCAACCACATTCATCAACGCGGTATCACGGTCAGTAACAATTGCTTTTGGAATCTCAACTTGGTCCTTCAAAAATGGCCGACACACCTCTAATGCCCATGTAAAATTGCCCTTTTTTTCACACTCGAGAAAAGAAAAACCAATGGCATATGTTTTCTCGGTAAACGTAACTCCAACCAGCTCAAATAAAGAAAGTTTATATATGTTAGTCTTGTAGGTAGAATCAAGAATGAACATTATCGAAAACGTGTTGAACAATTTTATCGAATCTGGATGAGTCCAAAAAATATCTCGGACCGTAACTCCATCGTCGCAAGTTCTGTACCGGGACACGTAATTGTTATCATCCAACAATTTCAACAGTTGTTGCATCTCACTTCTATCTCCCCTAATCGCCTTGGTGGTGCGGTACCAAATGTTATACACTTGCCTTATATTTGATATATTGTCAGGTACCTTCCGTTTCAATGTAGCAAATATATTTTTCGGTTGGACAAGATTCAAGGTCATGTCACTAATACATGTCTTCTCTTCCGGCTTGAGCCGACATACACTAGGATGACCTTATAACTTTGAGCACAAATCATGGTTATGCAAACCACAAATAACACTAAATTTCCATTTTTTGCTACTCAACATGTAACCACGAAGCTTAAACGAACGCTCACATTTTCTACTACCCGTGTCTTCTCTCTTAAATTTCCAGAGAGGAATTTGATATTTACGGTTTCTTTCGCACAACAAAGTAAAAAAAGTGTTTCTTCTTTCCGAACCATTATCCGATCTTTCTATAACCACACCAAAACCAAGTCTTGTTGCAATCCTACGAATCCATGTGAGCATGCTTTCACGATGATCAAACTCTTGCTTGTTATTAAAGTCAACGCCGACACCTACCGACTTTATGACAACCCCTTGAACATTCGGAGAAACATCGTTTGAAGGAACTAATTCTTTTGAGATGTTATCGGGGTGCACCATATCTATTTGTAAACAATAAGGAAAATAAGCAAAAATTACAAAGGTGCTGGAAAAAAACAGACAGAGATGTTCTGGAGATGTACATTCAGAAGTGTTCATCTTCAGCACGTTCCAGAGGCACATATCTGGAAGCAACATCAATTTTTTTCCAAAAGATTGATGATTAATGTAAACAATGTAGTGGACAAAAAGGGATTTTTACTTGAAATTCTATCTTCACTTGCTCCCTATGATTTGTTGCACGAAAAAGTTGGGGTTTTGGAGTGAAAATGATATTTACAGTATATGGTTTTTTAGGTTGGTGAAGTGAGTATGGAAGAAGAAAAGACAACAATGGGGGAGTGATCATGCATGTTTAAAATATAGCAGAAATTTCTGGAGTTGTATTTCCGGAACAATCTGGCGCTCAGACGTTCCGGAGTTATAG